GGTTCAGGCTGGGAGAGGAAACCAGAAGAGTCCAGAGGCAGAGGGATTAGCAGAGGGCTAGGTAGCAGCAGGGCTAGGCTTCTGACTAGCTGGGATTCAGGCCTTAAATACTCTAAGTTCTCTCCCAGAGAACAGGCAGGCAGATTCAGACTGAAGATCTCCTGGTTGGGCAACCATGTGCAGGAAGGCAGGTTTCAGAAGATGAGCTCCTCCAGAGCTCCTGAGATGCGGTAGGCAGATTTCAGCAGGGGAGACTACCCCAGAGTTCCAGGGTTCAGTCAGGATTCTTCCGTGATTAACTAAAACACTCTGGCGTCGGGGTGTTGTCCACAGCCCACTTAAGTACTGGTCCCCTGATGAGCAGATGAGAATCAGCTGGTGAAGGCAGCTCCAGGTTCAGGAGATCCAGTACGCCCCCTGGTGGAGGAAAGTAGACAGCACCCCAGATCCCAACAGAAAAAAACATACAAACAGGAAGGGATCCTCGGCGCCCTCTGGAGGGCAAGCCTCTGGATCCCAACACAGTCAGGGGCGCCTCTAGAAATGTTTCATAGGGGTGGCCAGATAGGGCCTCTTAAATTCTTGGGGTGGCACACAGAAACATAATTTCAAGGTTTTATTCTATTGCTGAGGTAAAACAGCCTGTGGAAAACTATCCTAAATATCTAATTAAACACCTACTCATATATTTTGGCTTATTGTGTGATTATTAATGTTACTACTGATCTAATGTGCACAGACATAGACCAGTTAACATTGTGAGTTGATCAATAGTTGTGTTTTATTTATATTTGAAATAAGCTGTACATTTATTCACAAAAAATCACTGCCGGTCCAGAAACAGGTGGTACACCTGCTTTCACTGAGTTCTGCCATGCTTCTGTAATCAAAGGTACTGACTGTCCCTGGTCTGCTGCTGTTTGATGCTTTTCCTCATCACTGTTTTTAACGAATGCTGTCTCTGTGTCCTCATCATGCTGGTTGGTCTGTTTCTCTCCTCCATCCTCCTTCTCTCTCTCCTCCTCCTCCTTCTCCTCTTCTCCTCATCCTCCTCCTCCTCCTCTCTCCCCATCCTCCTCCTTCTCTCTTCTCCTCATCCTCTGCTCCTTCTCTCTCTCCTCCTCCTCCTCCTCTCTCTCCTCCTCCTCCTCCTCCTCCTCCTCCTCCTCTCTCTTCTACCCATACTCCTCCTCCTTCTCCTCTCTCTCTTTTCTCATCCTCCTCATTCTCTCTTCTCCTCATCCTCTGCTCCTTCTCTCTCTTCTCTTCCTCTCTCTTCTCCCCCTCCTCCTCCTCCCTCACTTCCTCCTCCTCTCCTCTTCTCTCTTCTCCTCATCCTCCTGCTCCTCCTCCTTCTCCTCTCTCTTTTCCTCATCCTCCTTCTCCTCCTCTCTCTTCTACCCATACTCCTCCTCCTTCTCCTCTCTCTCTTTTCTCATCCTCCTCATTCTCTCTTCTCCTCATCCTCTGCTCCTTCTCTCTCTTCTCTTCCTCTCTCTTCTCCCCCTCCTCCTCCTCCCTCACTTCCTCCTCCTCTCCTCTTCTCTCTTCTCCTCATCCTCCTGCTCCTCCTCCTTCTCCTCTCTCTTTTCCTCATCCTCCTTCTCCTCCTCTCTCTGCTACTTATCCTCCTGCTCCTCCTCACTGGTTATCTGTTGCTCCCCTGTCATCTCTTTCTCTGCTTCTGTTGTAATTCTCTTCTTAAAATAAGAAGAGATGTCTGTGGACTTTCTCTTCATCTCTGAAAATTGACAAGTCAATCACCAACTCATCCAGTTGGCTACATAACTATGTCAAAAACACACTAAAAGCTGCTTTAACAGTATAATGTTACAGTTAACATATCCCCCTTTTCTTTCGCAAACAAATGACTTGACTTATTTACTTACTGTTAGTTTTAGATGCTTTCTCACCGTTAAAGTGCGCACGGGCTGAGCCGTAGTTCTCTGAGCTCACAAGCGCCTTCTGTACCGGTAGCTAATATGCGCATGCGCAAGCTAATATCGGGTAGGGGAGAGGGAGAGCAGGGGAATTACAGTGTGCAAGAAGGACAGGGAAAGGGGCTGCTTTGCTGGGTGCATAATGGGGTGAAACGCTAATAATATAATAATAAGGCAACTCCTTCAAGCTATTTAAATTTTCACATCCCCAGAAGTTCTGGGCGAGGAGGAGGAGTAGCAACAATCTTCCAGTCTGACCTACTGATTACTCCCAAAACAATTAATACCTACAACTCTTTTGAACATTTAACCCTTAATTTCCCTGATCCAAATTTCAAGGCAAGAAAACCTCTTCTTTTTGTAACTTTGTATCGTCCACCAGGTCCTTACTCTGAATTTTTAGATGAGATTTCAGAGTTCCTTTCTGATTTGGTATTAAATACTGACAGGGTCATCATAGTGGGAGATTTTAACATCCATGCTGACATTGAAGGCGATAGCTTAAGAGCAGCCTTTAATGCTATCTTAGACACTATTGGCTTTGTTCAGAGTGTGAGTGGTCCCACACATTCTCATCTTCATACTTTGGATCTTGTGCTGACATACGGCATAGAATGTGAAGAAATAACAGTATTTCCTCACAACCCTGTCCTCTCTGACCACTTTCTAATAACCTTCAGGATTACTTTAACAGAGTTCTCCTCCCCCAAAAGAAGGTTCAATTTTAGTAGATCTTTATCAGATAGTGCAGTTATAAATTTTAAAGAATCTGCTTCACTTTCTCTCTCCTCTGTGTCGCTGAGCAGTGCTGCAGAGTGCAAAAGCATAGCTTATTCCCCTTTACAGGTTGATGATTTTGTTGATGGGGTTGCTAGTTCTCTGCGTATTGCCTTAGACAACGCAGCTCCTTTGAAAATGAAAACTGTTAAAAATAGAAAGCTTGCTCCTTGGTTTAATGCAGAGCTGTGTACTTTGAAGCAAGATGCTAGGAAACTAGAGAGAAAATATCGCTCCACAGGCCTGCGGGAGTCCTTCCTAGTCTGGAAAAATGGTTTACTGCTGTATAAGAGGACCCTTTGTAAAGCAAGAGCAGCAAACTTCTCCTCATTAATAGAGGAGAATAAGAATAATCCTAGATTTCTTTTTAATACAGTTGCCAAACTCACCCAGAGCCATAGCTCTGTTGAACTGTCCATTCCACCTGCTCTTAGCAGCAATGATTTTATGGGATTCTTTATAAATAAGATTGATCTTATTAAAAATAAGACCATAAGCACTCATCTATCCGCGATTGTACCTGAGGTAGTCATGGAATCTGAACCGAGTTTAGACTGCTTTGATCCAGTTGAACTTTCTGAATTAGCAAAATTATTGTCTTCATCTAAGCCTTCAACTTGTATGTTAGATCCAGTTCCAACCAGGTTATTTAAGGAGATATTCCCTTTGATCTCCTCCTCCATTTTAGATGTGATTAATCTATCTCTGTTACAGGGATATGTACCTAAAGCTTTTAAGGTTGCTGTAATTAAACCTCTGCTTAAGAAACCGTCTCTTGACCCAGATGACTTGGTCAATTATAGACCTATATCCAATCTTCCTTTCTTATCCAAAATTCTTGAGAAAGTAGTTGCCAAACAAGTTTGCGATCACTTACACCATAGAGTTTCAGTCTGGCTTTAGAGCTCATAATAGCACTGAAACAGCTCTGGTGAAAGTCACTAATGATATTCTCATGGCCTCAGATAATGGACTTGTATCTGTGCTCGTCCTGTTGGATCTTAGTGCTGCATTTGATACAGTTGATCATAATATTCTTTTAGAAAGACTTGAATATTTTGTTGGAATTAAAGGAACAGCACTAGTATGGTTTAAATCTTATCTATCTGATCGAAATCAGTTTGTTCATGTTAATGATAGATCTTCAACACGCTCAAAGGTTACCTGTGGAGTACCACAGGGATCAGTGCTAGGACCAATTCTCTTTACTTTATACATGCTCCCAATTGGTAGAATTATTAGACAGCATGGGATTAATTTCCACTGTTATGCTGATGATACCCAGCTATATCTGTCTATAAATCCAGATGAAGCTAACCCATTACATAGATTACAGGCATGTCTTGAAGACATAAAAACCTGGATGACTCTTAACTTTCTGCTTCTGAATGCAGACAAAACAGAAGTTATAGTCTTTGGACCAGAGTCTCTGGAAAAGAAGCTGATTAGTCAGTCACTTCATTTGGATGGGATTAAACTGATTTTAGATAATAAAGTAAAAAATCTTGGTGTTATTTTTGATCAGGACCTGTCATTTAAATCCCATATCAAAGAGGTTTCTAGAATTTCCTTCTTTCATCTGAGGAACATTGCCAAAATTAGAAATATCCTGTCCAGGGGTGATGCTGAGAAACTAGTCCATGCATTTGTTACTTCAAGACTGGACTATTGTAATTCTTTACTATCAGGAAGTCCACAAACTGTAGTTAAAAGCCTTCAGCTGATCCAAAATGCTGCAGCCAGAGTTCTAATGAAAATTAAAAAGAGAGATCATATCTCGCCTATCCTGGCTTCTCTTCATTGGCTTCCTGTTATATCAAGAATAGAATTTAAAATCCTCCTTCTCACATATAAAGCCTTAAATGGCCAAGCTCCATCTTATATCAGAGATCTGATTGTTCCTTATGTTCCTAACAGAGCACTTCGCTCTCAATCTGCAGGTTTACTAGTGGTTCCTCGAATTTCTAAAAGTAGAATGGGAGGCAGATCTTTTAGTTATCAGGCTCCTCTCCTGTGGAACCAACTACCAGTTTTAGTCCATGAGGCAGACAACCTGTCTACTTTTAAGGCTAGACTTAAAACTTTCCTTTTTGATAACGCTTATAGTTAGAGTGGCTCAGGTTATCCTGAGCTATCTCTATAGTTATGCTGCTATAGGCTTAGACTTTTGGAGGACATAGGGACCCCCATTTCATCATTCTGCTTCATTCTCTCTCTGTTCTCCTATTCTGCAGAATCTGTTAGTTCAATCTCTAACCTTCTGCTCTCTCTGCTTTTCCTCAGAGTAGCTTTGCCTCGTCTGTTCCTGTTTGGCTCTGACGTCATCCTGGAGAGAAACATCAGCTGTGCTGCTTCCATCAACACCCTTGTTTATAGATGTTGGAGATCGGCCTGTTTTCCAGTGTGGTCCTGTTTCTCTGACCGTGACTGAGTGGATGTGCTCTCTTCGTCCTCTGGCATGGGAGCTGCCTTGGAGCTCGTCTGCCCGGCTGTGTGTTTCCTGGACGGAGCCGCCTTTTATAGCTGCTTTTTGTATCTCTGCTTCTGTCTCCTTGAACCCCAGTCGGCCTCGGCAGATGGCCGCTCACACTGAGCCTGGTTCTGCTGGAGGTTTCTTCCTGTTAAAAGGGAGTGTTTCCTCTCCACTGTCGCTACAAGCATGCTTAGTGTGAGGGATTGTATTTGAGACAATGAGTGAATGCAATCAACTGGTTTTCCTTAGATAGAAAACTTTGTATCAATTTGACTGTATGATCTGGTTGAACTGTAAAGTGCCTTGAGATGACATGTGTTGTGAATTTGGCGCTATATAAATAAACTGAATTGAATTGAATTGAATTGGGGTGGCCAGGGCATAGTCCAGGGTGGCCGTGGCCAATCCCTGATGGTGCCCTTGCCTACGGCCCGATTGTCTCTTCGCGATTTGCCGTGGTGACTGGAAGGTGGCTTTCCTGTACATAATCTAAAATGCAGACACCAGGATAATAAAAGTGAACATGTTTTGCCAGCAGATTACGGCATTTTAAGTTAATTTAGGTGTAAATAAACAGTTTCAGAGGAGTGGTCATAATGATCTGTATCATCAGCGATGTGTCGGTCTCCCTGCAGCTCCCAAATCAGCTTCTCTGATTGGTTGATGTGGCGAATCGAGCAGCAAAAGTTCAATTTTTCCAACACCACCAGCAGCTGCGTTTGCAGAGCGTCGCATGTCAGATGCTCAAACGCTCATGGCGCGCTGCCCCAGCTGCTGTAGACACACAGCGAGATGTTTTGCTGCACCTTGATGCTCGTCAACCATTGACTTAATATGTAAACTTGCTGCTCCTGCTGCCTTTGCTGCTTTAGGTGTGAATGTAGCATTAGAGTTCCACTCATAGAGATACCTTTCCTAACCAACTTCAATTTAAAACGCTCACAGAGGAAGTTAAAAAGGACCTGGATGAGGACATTACAGTGGAAGGGCTTTTGCAGGCCATAAAAGGTATTAATTCAGGTAAAGCTCCGGGGCCCGATGGCATACCAATAGAGTTCTATAAAACTTTCCAGATGCAGTTGTTGACTCCACTTTTGAATATGTTCACCGAGTCTCTTAATAAAAGTGTATTACCACCAACGTTAAGACTTGCTACAATAATCCTCTTCCTGAAACCGGGGAAAATACCAACTATTTGCTCCTCTTACAGACCTATCAGTCTTATGGGAGTAGATACAAAAATATTGTGTAAAATTCTTGCTAAAAGGCTAGACCCACATATCCCCTTTTTGGTACATAATGAACAGAATGGATTAGTACAGAGCCGTCAGGGATTTCATAATATTAGAAGAGTCCTCGACATAATCCACTCTAAAGACAACACTAGAGACACAGCGTTGTTATCTCTAGATGCTAGACAAGCGCTTGATAGAATTGAGTGGACTTATTTATTTAATTTGTTACCAAGATATGGACTTGGGGCGAAATTTTTGAAATGGATAGAACTATTGTACACTAACCCTACAGCATGAGTAATGACGAATAACAATCTATCAAGCCCGTTCACATTGGAAAGATCAACCCGTCAGGGCTGCCCTCTCTCCCCGCTATTGTTCGTACTGGCCATTGAACCATTGGCAATTAGAGCGGAGGCCAATTTGTCGGGCATAACTATCGGGGAGCAGGAACATAGGATATCGTTGTACGCAGATGATGTGATTCTCTTTTTGTCTGATTTATCAACCAGTGTTCCAACATTATTACAATTAATTCACAAATTCGGTCAGTTTTCTGGATATAGTATTAATAATACAAAGTCCTCTATACTTTTTTTGAATAAGGAAGAGAGAACTAATCCAGTGGTAAGTACACCCTTTCTTAACGCAAGGGAAGGCTTTACATACCTTGGAATTAAGATTACCCCTCGAATAAATACAATTGTAAAAGCAAATTATGACCCACTGATGAAAACAGTACAAGACCAACTTGAAAAATTGAAAATAATGCCGATAATAATGATTGGCCGGATCAACATAATTAAGATCAATATCTTACCAAAATTCTTATATTTGTTCCAATCTCTCCCAATGCCACTGCCAAAATCATTTTTTAAAGAGATTAATAATGCATTTTGTAGATTTATCTGGAACAATAGGAAACCCAGATTGAGACTTTGATTACTATATTTGCCTTACGACAGGGGTGGATTACAGATGCCCAATTTACAGTGGTATTACTGGGCCGCTCAGCTCTGTAGTGCTATGTTTTATTTTGTCACACACTCACTTCCATCATGGGTTCTTAATGAACAAGCATCAACACCTATGCTATCATTAAGCTTATACTTATATTCTGCAGATTTTAAAACTTTAAAGAAAAAAACAACAAACCCTTTCCTCAGAAACTCTGTAGATATATGGTTTAAGGCTCATAGACATATTGGTGATACTCCTGTCATCTCTCAGTTTTCATCTATTTGGAAGAATACGCGGTTTACCCCTGGCAGGGCAGATGGCGGGTTTCAAATGTGGGCTGACAAGGGAATAAAAAAAATTGGAGACTTAAATGTACAGGGCACTTTATTAACATTTAATGAGCTCTGTTTGAAATATTTTATTCGAAAAAATCACTTCTTTAAATATTTGCAACTGAAGCATTTTATCTCATCAATGCAGCACCAGGCTACAAATGAACCAACTCTGTCCTGCTTGGAAGACATTATGCTGAAATACATGAATGGGAAAAGACAAATATCTATACTATATACAGCACTTGTCTCGCATGATGAGGAGTCTAGCCATGATAGAAGGAGAGCATGGTGCATAGATATTAAGGAAGAAATTGGAGAAGCTGAGTGGATGTCGGCTTCTTTAGAAGCTCAATCACAAATTATTGATACTCAAATGAAGATACAGTACTACAACACAAGTGGTTGATGAGAACGTATATAACCCCTGAGAAACTCAATAAATGGTCACCTGATGTTCCAGACTTGTGTGTGAAATGCTTGACTGAGAAAGGAACCCTGATCCATTGTGTATGGGAGTGTCCGAAAGTGATGGATTTTTGGAAAAGGGTAATCTGCACTCTGAGTACAATCACAGGTACTCAGGTACCTCTCATAGCAAAACTTTGAATTTTAGGAGTGTATCCGGATCGCTTTCATGTGAACTCTAAGTGTAAGACCCTGATCAACTTTGGCCTCCTACAGGCCAGGAGGATGATTGCACTATCTTGGAGAGAGACTGAAATGCCCTCTACAAAAACCTGGATCAGAGAAATATCAATGTGTGTCACATTAAAAAAGTTAACCTACCGTAAATTCTCTAATATAGGCCCGGGCCTTTATTTCACTCAAGTGCATCGCGGTCCAGGCCTTTATTGGAAGGAGGCCAGAATTAGAGACAGGCCTCTATTGCTATTTGAGCAAAACAGACTACCAGTGGAATGAATAAAAAATGAGATTTTGTGTCTATTTGAACCTATAAAACACTAGGTTCATTTATTGAACAAGAACAGTTACCATAACGGTATACAGAAATTTAACAACAAATAGCCTACCTGTAATTCAGGCTTTCCAGTGGAAAAAAATGTAGCAAACATACCAGTAGTGCAACTAGTGCAATGTAAACACTTAACCATACATAGTGATAATTAGGCTGTTTTATAACAAAAAGCAACTTACAGGTTTAGACACCTCCTCGCTCACTCAAATTGTCTCGCTTGGTGTAAAGTAAAAAAAAAAAAAATCCTCCAACTCTGTTTAATCCTCCTCCTCAGTTTCCTCCTCCTCTTCGTCTCTCCCTGTATTCTCCTCATCACTCGCGCCAGTCTCTATCACAAGTTCATTATTGTACAGTTCCTCTTCGTCCTCCTCATGTTTTGCTGCGTGTCTGTTTTCTTCCTCGCGCAGACGGGCAGCAGTCAGGGCCTGTCGTCCAGCAGTGCAGGGCTGTGGTACTTGTATGTTACTACCACAAGTATAATGTTGAGGTATGCCCAGAAAAAACATTTATAGCCCCGGCCTGTATAAGAGACCGGCCATTATTTACCTCCGCCATCAGCGAGACAGGCCATTATTAGAGACCCGGCCACTAATGGAATACAGGCCAATATTAGAGAATTTACGGTATATAATTAGAGGTAAAGCACAAGAATTTGAAGTAATATGGACACCCTTAATGAACTTTCTTAAGCAACAGTAGATTGCATTTATTTGTAAGGCTATTGAGTGTAGTAGTTTTGATTTATTTGTTTTATTTATACATTTTATTTCTACATGATTATTTGTAATTGTAATTATTTTTATTGGTTTATGTATGTACTTTTTGAAATCTTAATTTGAATTAATTTAAATCAAATTTTTTTATTTTTATTTTATTTTATTTTTGTTTTATATACTTGTGTGCAATGAGGTTGACCAGCTTTTCATTATACAAACAATGTAATGCTTGTCAACATGTGTTTGTATGTTCTTATTGGAAATTAATAAAAACATTGTTCAAAAAAAAAAAAAAGAGTTGCAGGGAAGTGGCCTGCCATTCAGCTGGGAAGGGCCATTTTGAATGGCTGCTACTGTAAATAATATTTCAGGTCAATATTAAGCTCTTGGCATGTATTAATGCTCCATGCAGGCTGCTCTTCTCAAAAACCCTATGTATCTGCTACTAAAAGTCACGTAATGCTACTTTATGGCAGTCTGACTTCCCTTTAAACACAAAACTTAACTAAGCTAAAAGTTGTTAGAAACCAAGCCTTCAGACATACACTATATTGCCAAAAGTATTTGCTCACCCATCCAAATTATTGGAATCAGGTGTTCCAATCACTTCCATGGCCACAGGTGTATAAATTCAAGCACCTAGG